TAGGGGCCCTTTCATACTAGGACCCAGTATTACAAAGAACGTTCAGTATAGCCAAAACTTCCTCCCACTGTCCGTGCACACAGATCCGAAATTCTTCCAAGAATGGTGACTTTGTTTTCTGGAGAATTGACTGGTCAGTATGCACTGATATTATACCAGTTCATGTCTTATCCGCTCTGGAACAGGTCAATTCCTTCAGCATAGGTTAGACCTGAACTGCCTTTGTAGTACTAAAATGTTAACACCAAACGTAGCTAGATAAGCCCACATCCCATTTTGAAGTAAACGCCTCAGGTGTCCTTTGCTTTAGTCCATCTCCACAACACCTTACATACCCAAACTACAGCCTCACTAGATCATGACTGGTGCTTCCCCCAGTGCATTCCCTTTTTTTTTTTTTTTTTCTTAATTTTTAAATTGTAGAAATGATACAGAGCCTCTGTTGTTTTAAATGCTTTCATAACCAACCCAAAGTTATTTTAGAATTAAACTTTGCTACACGGCAGAAATTGCTGTGTTTATTTTGACATGGCAAAACTGAGATGAGACAATAAATTATTTTAAACAGTCACCAGAACAGAATAGAATAGAATCTTCAGCCATTTCTGTTATAAAAAAGACAAAAAAAAGTGCATTTTAAATGGCACTGAGAAGGAAGTCTTCATGTTAGAGATGTGAAAAGGCCGCATAAGAACGTTGCAATGGTGGCTGTGGAATAAAGTAAAAATAATAAAGTCTCCTTTTCATGTGTTTTGCACTTGGTTTTACTGTCTTTTTCACTCTCACTCGCTGCTTAGGTTTAGGAACTAAGAACTACTTGGTGAGGAAGTTCAGTAAAAATACATGCACCTTCACAGCAGCTACCCTTTGCACTTTCTCACTAATGCACTGCTGCTAAATGACACCTGGTGTGTCTAGAACATACCAGCATTTACTAAATGATTTGTTTTTAATGCTTTGTTGAAATTGATCCTTTAACAGTGTAAGCCATGTGGGAAAGCCATGAAGGAAAATCATTTTCCCAGTCCTGATGCAACTTGATTGGTCAGTTGGAATGACATTAATTATGATGTTGTAGGAACAACACCATATACTGTCACGGTATGCAGAGACAGGCCGTGCGATGGTGTGTGTAATGGACCCAGGTGCGTACACAAGTGAGTAGACGGGAGTGAACTTAACAGAAAGCGAGCCTTTATTATGGCTGGAGACAAGGTGTACAAACAAAGCAAGGATAGCGTGGCTAGGCTATAACTAAACTGGGAAAACTAATACTGTGACAAACTAAGGAAACTCAGAGACTATGATGTTCGCTGCAAAGACTGACCGGGAAAACATGGAGGTGAGAACACAGACGACGCGACACGGACTGTATGAAACACAGAGACTAAATACACATGAGGGATGATCAGGGGAAGTGGCCACACATGGGAGCACAGCTGACACACATGAACCTAACGACAGGAGAGGAGAGGTGAAACTAAATACACTGACATTGAATACAGACTTTCAAAGTAAAACAGGAAACATGGAGATTAGACATGACATGAACTAAACATAACCATGCAGACATGACTCATGACAGGTAAACGCACGAACCAGGGAGACTGAGTACAGTGGAAGATGACAGAAGCAACAGCATGAACTTGACAACACAAGACACACAGACATAAACACATGAAGGGCAAGGGAGGCTTAATACAAGGGTAATATAATTACAAATGAGCTGGAATAACTTAATGAACCTAAACAAACAATAAACATCAAAATAGACTAAACACAAAACACTGGGTCGCACGACCCAGGACCATGACATATTCAACACATTTGTAAGCTGTTGTTAGCTCTAGTGAGAGAACAATGCCAACAAGGACTAACATCTTAGTTAAATATTAGTATAGAAAATATTTAACATTTTTGAGAGATTTTGTTTGACAGTTTTAAGAAGCAGATCCAGGAGTCCTGCATTATTTATATTTGCCATTTAAAGTACAGTTTAACTCACTGTGCTGCAGTTTTAAGAGGACTGAACTCCTAACCCAAGCAGAGTTAGAGCCATGCTCCTCTTATTAATCACCCTTCTGGCTTCCTCCTCACTCTCTAACCACTTCATCATTCTCCTTCTCTTCAATTTTCTCATGCAAGCGCGCGCGCACACACAGACACACACACACACACACGCACACCCTTTCTTTCCCTTCAGAGTATTGCACTGTTGTCCAAACAGACCGAGCGTGCGGTGACCCTCTACTGCAGCAGTGCAGCACGGTGCCTCCTGAACCGCTTACATCGAATCTATCATAGATGGACAAAAGAGAATATGTACACAAACACTCAAAATGTTATTGTAGCAATTCGACTGTGTGATACCATCTGCTGCCAGACCCCACCACCCCAACTTATATTTCTACAGAGAACTGTGTGGAAAATTTGGACTTTTTAATGCAGCCTGGCTCACTTATAGCCTGAATGAAAGCAATGCTAGATAATCTATCCTTGGCACAGTTTCAGTTAGTCATGCAGGAGTGATGAAAACAGAAAAAACAAAAAATGAGACATTGAAGGACATCAAAAGAGCAGAAAAACCGATATGGAAAAATATATTCAGCATGATGCAGAGAAGCAGGGGGCACTAACCATGATGATCGCTGATGATTACACTGGAACCAAAATCGCTTTTCTCCACAACCTCAACAAGTTTTCAGTCAATGTGAAGTATCTGAACTGTCAAGCGAAGGGAGACTGGCCTAATCACTTACACAACCTCTAAGCTTGTTGCTCTGTGGGAAGGCCTGGAGACAGTTTTGAGAAATATCTTTTCATTAGATGTGGGTGCCGCGCTCTCAGTAAAAGCTCATTGTCTTGACTTCTATCAGTCACCTACACATCCAGAGCTCAAAGGACAACTGCCATAAGGCACTTGTAGATTATTCCTAGGGTAACTACTGTCAGACACAGATCCGCCTACAATGCACATAGTCCATGGACTGAGGCACTTAAGGCTCTCTTCTCTGGCATTTCAGACAGTTGCTCGAGAAAACAGAACCATGATATTTAGCCCTAATTTGTGTCCCTGTCCATTACCATTAATTTCACAGAGTTTAAAGCTATGATTCTCAAAGTTTTGGTGGTTGAGAGCCAATTTAATGGGGACACATTGGATTGAGGGATGCATGGGTTAAATGCGACACAGTGGTGGCAATGTCATGTTTTGAGGCCAGACAGCTGGCCATCATTGATAAGTTTCACATTATGCATGTCAAATTTCACATTTGACATTGTGACATTTCACATGTAATAAGGGTCAAAATCATTAATTCAATGGTATGATTGAATTGAATTATTGAGACTGACATATAGAGCTGCAGAGTGACTCTGCAAACATGCTTACACATCATATGTAGAGTTAGAGTCTAGCTGATATTTTTCCGGGCCAAGGGAGTCCGAACAGAATGTCTTAGATAATACGTAGAATCAGTAGGCTGAGAATTGTTAGATAATATTAATGCAGTAAGGTTAGGTTAGGGAGGTGTTTTTCTTTCTCTATCTTTTTCCAGAAAAGGAGCAGATGGTAGATGAGGTCAGACGTGGACGGAGTGGAGGAGAAGATCCGCAGGGGAGAAGACAGTTTCCCAGAAGAAGATAGTCATAACAATACTTGTTTTTGTTGTGGTATAAAACTGTAATGCCCGCTTACAGGCCCATTCTTTTTGTGAAGCAGACCACCGATTCACATTGAGGTCCCGCATGCTGTAACTTATAATTTCAACTGCTGTACTTCCTTAAAGAAAGAAAAACGAACAGCAACACCCTATTTGAATTATATTTATAACTGGTCTGGTCAGGGGGTTGTGTATAGGATTGTGCTTTATGTTGTTTTATGCTGTCATTTTGCTCTATTTTATAGTTCTCTAGCAATTTGGGAAGTGGCTATTTCTTTTCTTATTCCTTGGCAGTACCTGTAGTTCCTGGTGTTAAGATATTTAGTCTGCTGTGATGATGAGTTGAATTTCAAAAAGAATACTCCCTTAGTGTCCTCCTGTGCTTTTATATCATATCGTATAACATGGACTGTATGAATGAATGTAAAGTGACATATTCTTCTCTTGTCACCATCAAAGAGTGCATAATGTATTACTAAGACGGCTAGTTCCCTACATGAAAGCAACCTACAGCAGTTCTGTGGGTGCTTCCACCCTCAAAATATTCAGTTTGCCAATATTCAGTGTCAAGGTCTGATATTGTTTCTACAAGAAGCATTTCAAGAAATAGAATATCTTTGGAACCTGATCTTTTTCATTTTCACAGCTTGCCTAAGCTGTAATGGTCAAATCTCTGGTGCTCTGTGTGAAAAAATATAGCTATAACCTGCCTTTCAAGTGTCTTTATGAATGAATCTCTAATCATTCGAACTCTACCAGCTTAAAAACAAAGAAAGTGAGCCAACACAGACAATGACATCTGTAGCAGCATACATGCTGTGCTTTCTTCACATGTGAAGATGATTTAGGCTTTAGTGAATTTGCTCACCAAATGTTTATTTTCAACAGATATATATAAATATAAAAAAAAAACTGAGGACTCGATAGTTTAAATAATTTGACTAAAATAATTATTTGCTGATTTGCAGATCATTTGCTTGCAGTAGGAAAACACTGTTTTTGACAGACTTCGTTGACCCTACACGGTTTAATAACTAAAATGTTTTCATGAGCAGGCCACCATTTAGTTTTTTTTCTCGAAGAAACAACAACAACAACATGTATAGGTGATCACAGACGATAATGGTAAAGGCGAAGTTGCGCGTAAAGCCCTGTTCTTTAAAGCGCTACAGCACACACTCCCACATGTTTAGAACGATCCCTCGCAGCCGTCTCACCTACTACTTGTGGCTCAAGTACTACTTGTACTGTAGATTTTTACTTTGTCTCGATGCGTAAAGAAACCACAGTGGGGACCGAAAATATCCGATAATAATAAAAGCTTTCCACGACACCCACCTGCAGCACGGTCTTCACCGTGACCGGCGAGACCACAGTGGTGCATATCATCTCGCCGTTACGCATCCTTTGGCCCATGATGAAGGGCATCGGTGTCGCGAGAGCGAAGGAAGCGAGCCACATGGCGCTGATGAGTTTCTTGGTGCGGCTGCGGGACATGATGCTCTTGGCTTTGAACGGGTGGCAGATGGCCATGTAGCGCTCCACGCTCAGGCTGGCGATGTTTAGCGCGGTGGCATAAGAGCAACTGTCCCGGAGGAAGTAGTAACCCCTGCACACGGCGTCCCCGAACACCCATGGGTAATGGAACCAGATAAAGTTGTAGAGCTCAATGGGCATGGAGAGGATCAGAATGAGCAGGTCGGACACGGCGAGACTGGCCAGGTGATAGTGTACGGTGCTCTGGAGGTTCTGCAGCGTCTTTCTGGTAATCAGGGTATAAATAGTGATGGAGTTGCCCAGGGAGCCTATGGCGAACAGAGCCAAGTAAACGATAGTGACAATGACTTTTGCGTACACATTCGTATTAACTTCCAGTTCCTCCTCATTACTTGTGGGACCGACGGTGCTGTTATCAAATGGAGGCAGTGAGTTATTCGCAAAAAGTTTCTGCGCCAACGAGCCAAAGCCGATCAAGTCGCTCCCCGAGAGCGTGAAGTTTAAATCCATTCTGCTTTTCTTCATGAAGGTATGGAACGAAAAGGTACAACTGAGCAAGCCGAGTGGATATGTGCCGACGCGACTCGCTCTGGTTTAAGTCAGAGGAGACCACCCTTTATAATTTGGCACGACAGAAGGCGCGCTCGCTTATTGGTGCTGCTGCGATGACGCACGACCATTCACTTTGTCCGTTAGTTCCATCTTGTCCGTTTATGGTTCACCTTGGAAACAAATAGTGCGATGCAACAACGCATCAAGAATTAAAGGAATTTAATTTCAAGTATGGTTTCTAATATAATTTTTTTCTTCTTTGCTGTTTTTCTCTGTTATTTTATTTTGAACCCTTAACTTTCTCTCCAAGAAGCTTTTGTCCTCTTTCTTCTCTCAGTCAGCCTTACAAGTAGAAAGAAATGATGTTATGTGTAAGTCGGAGACTCCACAACAGGGTACCAGACTTTACTCTGGGCCCCAGATAATGATTATGCTCATGATCCACTCCCAGTGTGAACTCCTTTGGACAAGAAGGAGAAAATGATTCTAATGGTTATTTCACAGCAGTAGGCTCACCTCTTTTTGACATTTTCCCCACATTGTTTATCACAAAGTTGTACATCTAAATATTTTAATGTTCTTCTATGCATGTCATTTCAGTTTTCCCTCACGCCTGGGTGCTCACTATTATTCATGTGTTGCTCATACATTACATAAGGCTTTAAAGCATTGTTTATGTGTTGCAAGATAATTTCTGTTGTGTGACTCTGCTGAGCATCAACAACCTGTCCATGACACCCTCCAAACTCTGATGAAACAGAACATAGCTTTCTGGTTGCTGCCCTGGGTCCCCTACAAAGCAATACAAATGTATAGAATAGAAATAGAAATAGAACCAGTGGATTATTTAACAGTGGCTATTGTTTTAGTTATATGATTAAGATTTGTGGGATTCATAAAATAATATTTCTCTAAAAAGATAATTTCATAGTCATTTGTCTAAAAAAGGGGGAAAGGAAAAATCCCAACATGCAGCATTCAGCATGGTGCAAAAGTCTGAGCCACTTATGATTTCTGTATATTTTGATAGGAAAACAATCATATATTTTTACAGTTGCAACAGGCTTGAAAGTCAACATTTGGTATGATCACCTTTATGCTTCAACACTCTCTTAGGCAGCTTTCCTGTAATTTCTTTAAGGAGGCTTCAGGAATAGTTCTTCAGGCTCAAGGAAATGTTGGCTGCCTTTTGTTCTGCTCTCTGTCAGGATGATCCCACACTGCTTCAATAATGTTATGTTGGTCTAGGATCTGGGAGGCCAGCTCATGATTGATGTATGCTTTTGTATCCAGACCTGCTTTTTCCGCACTGACAGTTTGTTTTGGGTCACCATTGAACTGACAATTGAAACTGTTGCCAATCAGATGCTTTCCAGATGAAATTGCATAGTCAATCAAAATCTGATGTTACGCACTATAGAAACGCACTGTGATACCATTCTCCTCACCTAATCCTTAATGATAATTTGAACCAAAAATTTCAAATTTTGTTTAATCACTTCATAAGACATGTTGCTTCTGACTTGCTACTGGCTTCTTAACAGCCATGTTTCTACTGAGACCATTTTTGATAAGGCTTCAGCAAACAGTAGGTGGATCAAATGAGGGGCTAGGGTTAGATGCATGTCTCCAGTGCTGTGTCAGGTCTTTTGCGCCTTATTTCATACTGCTTAATAACACGACTTTTAGATACTGTTCACCGCTTATCCTTTTGACCTCCACTTGTCCAGTTTCCTCAAATTTATATGGACATACTGCTTTCAGGCAAATTTTCAGGTATTAGCTCTTTGGGAATCACCTTGCTGATACTAAGGTGCCTAATGATGCAATTTAAAGTGGACATGAAAAACATGAAACATGTATAAAGGCTAATTTACGCCGTGGAGGAGAGCAAAACATGAGGGGTGGTTCAAGACTTTTTCACATTTCTGTATGTGTTTTCTTTTTCCAAATTCACCAAATTAAAGAATAATATTGATTGATTGAATATTGAACTGTTTGTGGAAAAATATCTTTTTCTTCTTCTCCTATTTTTGTAAAACACATTTTATTGGTGTGATATAAGATAACAATTTAATAGTAATAGCAGGCAAAAATACAAATAGTGCTAACTCCTTTTTATAATGTTTAGTAACAGAGTTAACTTAAACAGATTTGAATCATGTACAATTTCTAGGCAGTCACTTACCCTAGGTTTGTTTTAAAGGAAAAACAATGTGTCAACATTAAATTGTAAGGAGAAGCTTCTTAGTTTTAATAATGAAAAGACAATTTAAGCACTTATTCAAACTTCATGACTGAATTAGTTGTTGTTAAAAATGTGGGGAATTTGAAAAGTCATTTATAAGCACTACCTGCTTTTAGGTATAGCATAAAATGTTTAGAAAGTCTTTATAATTAAAATATAAGATCTAAAATATAAGCTTTTAAAAGAAATGTCATGTCTCTGACTGTCCGCTGTTGACCCTTTTAGCAGTGCCCCTGTGACTTATATTGTAAGTATCTTATGTTGCTGTCTCTCAGTAAAATTTTGGCACAATAAAACTGGTGTGAAAGCCACCCCAATTTTTTGTCAGACATATGTATATTTTATCCACAGCTACAGTTAACAAAAAATGAAGCAAATATGTTCTGCTAGAGAGTATTGCAGGGAAACGTTTTAAAATCTGACAGTCTTCCATGGCATCCCCATTCTTAGTTCACAGGCAGAAAGGAATGAAAAAGAAAATAGAACCTTAGAGAAAACGAAAGTTAAGGTGCCATAATGGTAGCGATGTGTCGTTTGTGAATGAGCTGGTTCTAAGAGTCGATTCTTTCTAGCGAATGACAAGAGCTGACTCCAGCCAGGGAGAGCCACATCTTTAGCCTACCCTACTGAGACCTCATGCATGTAGGGATGGGATATTGTTTTGATTGCCATACCATGTGGCCAATCACATGCAAAGACAGACCATTATGTGAAAGAAGGAAGGTGGGCAGCGATTTCAGAGACAGCATGTTGGGAAAATAACAATATTTTCAACGTTACTTTCACTAAAAAGTGATGAAATGAGTAAAACATGAAAAGAAGCATCTGACTGCATTTCACTGGTATTGGAAAATGCAAAGATAAAATTACATTTATTTTTTCAACCATTTGCCACTTTGGAGGACAATAGATTTAAAACTTTTTTCCAGGCCTTAAACTCCATGTATTTTCTACCTAGAAGTTGCATATGCATAAAATTTAAGTTTTTATGAAAACACTGAAGAAAAAATTGCTTCACAAAACACAAACCATTCATAATTGTGAAATTAGGAGAAGGCTCTGAAGTGGGAAACAAGCCAAAAGAGCAGAATCTTTGAAAAGAGCCAGATCTCATCACTACATCATTGATACAGCATATTCTTACAAAAGCTACAGAAAGCTGCAAGCAAACCTAAATTTGCACATCATCTTTCAGGAGCTCCCTTTAGGGGTGACTACAGCAGAACATCTGCCTCCACCTCACTGTATCCATACCATCCTATTCTGTCAAACCAACCAGCCATCCCTCTTTATCTTTATGTCTGACAGCTCCATATTCAACATCCTTTGCCCATTATATCCACTCTCTGTCTTCTTTAGCCTTCTCAGCTTTGTCTCTTTAACTTTGTCTTATCCTCTGTTACCTTTAGCTGTGCGTCTTGTCTTTTTGTCAGTGTCACTGTTTCCAAACCATACATCATGGTAGGTCTCACTACTATCTTGCTGCTATTCCTGTGTCATAAATCACCCCTGGCACTCTCAACCTGCTGGATCATTTGTGCAACTTCATTAGGCGATGGGAATAGGTAAGAATTTAGCTATTCCGATTCCATTATAGATATTAATTAGCGATTCGATTCCTCATCAATTCTCTTATTGATTGTGATTGGGTTCCTAGTGGCTCTGTTTTCTGAGTAACTGCCATTGCTAAGCAGCAATAAAGAAATTACATTCATGCAAATTAATTGCATGCTGTGTATCAAATGTTTCTGCATGTTTGTTGAGGTATTTTCCCTATTTGTTGTGATCAATGTAGGAGTCATTGCTTAAAAAAGTAATTATTACACATATTATGCAGAACATGTTTCTTAACAGTAATCCAGTACCCTACTTAACTACTACAGGAAAAAGTAATTTATTATATTACTCATTACATTACTTTCACGTTACTCTGTAAAATAGCGGAAACACACTGTCTCATAATCACCATTCAACAAACATAAATCTGTAGCTACAACCCCGCAAACCGACACAAATCCCTAATAAGGACAAACATCTTTAAGATCTTTCTTTTAGTAGACTACAAAGCTGACCGCACAAAGCAAAGATGAAAACCAGAACACACACACACACACACACACACACACACACACACACACACACACACACACACA